TTTATTACAGTATCACGATTACAAAAAAAAACAACATTTTTCGTTGATGATGATAAAGCTTAGCGATAAAATGAGCACATCAGAATGAATAAGTAACGTGGACAAGAAATGCACAACAATCATGAGATTACATGAGATACACGAACATTTAAATTAACGGAAGCTCAGAAGGGGTGGCTACTCATATTTGCGGAAATTTTCCAAAAAATGTAATAAAATTTATTTTATCAGCGCAGAGAAGAGGTTGAAATCGAGTCCTGTGTGCGTGAAGACATGAAACTTAAAAACGAACCGGATGAAGGAACTGCTAATTTCAATAAAGATGAAGAACACTACGATGAAACAAGAGCAATCTGATGTATCTCATACTACGTAAAGCTATTAAGAAAGCACAATAAGTAGATTTCTTAAGGAACGGGAGGGAAGGGGCAGGAAGGGGCAAAATATGTTTTCTTTCACCTACAAGTTCTGCGCTTTGTGCTTGATCTTTCTGGCCGATTGGGTATTTTCATCATTTTTTTAAGAATGGCAACTTTTGGGACTTGAGCTCCGCTCCCGCCAGATAAATCTCGAAAAGACTGAAGTCTTACTCATCATGTACGTCTATCAGAGAACCTCTTAAGCCCGTAATCCATTCAGGAGACAAGCATCAGCAAGCTGATTTGCAGCAGCCAATTTAACACTGATCAAAGCAACTTGAAGTTTTTTTAGCTACAAAGTTGAAGGATTCGACCATAAAATGAGAGCTGCTCCAAGTATTTGAAGCACTTCTTTGATTATCCACTCAACTTCCCAGACGGAGTTATTCAATGAAAGAAATTTTCCTAAATAAACGAAAAAAATGGAGCAAAACTTTTCTGGGCTATTCAAAATAATCAAATTAATCATTTTCTAGATTAACTGATGAGGAGGAAGACTGGATGAGGATAAGCCAATGTTTAAGCAGTTTATGATAAAACAAATTCAAAAAAATTTTGCGTCTAAATATATGACTGGGAAGAACGCTATGGCTAACGGTGTCTGGGGCTTTTTGATGCTGATGAGTTCACGATAAAAAAACTGAAAAATTTTTGGTGTCTAAACATATGACTGGGAAGAACTCTTAGAATGATGGTGTGTGTGTGGCTTTTCGGTGTCGATGAGTTGTAGTCGAAGCGCAAAAAGCAAGGATGGGTACCAATTCCAGTAAGCATATTCTAACTGTTCACACATAAATCGGACAGGCGGAGGTGGCGGTAACTGAATGCTGCAGGCCAGTATCGAAGGCCTCACATAAAACACAGGAGAATTTCCGTACCCCACTAACATGGGATACCCACTCTGGAGTCCTGACATTCTATAATACGCTTTGCTTGTTTTGCTAACTTTTCTAAAATTTTCAAAAAAAAAAAAGATTTAAAAGTACCGCTTACTCAAGCAAAAAACTGATGAGCTTTCAAAAGATACCCAAGAAACCAAATGCGAGCTTTTTGGAGTTTTCTAGACGTAATACGTAATTTAAAAAACCACTCCAGTAGTTTTTTTAAAGGAAATGAAAAATTCTATAGTGGACTTGCATGGGATTCACAGAACAAGAGATGGCTCACTGATGAAATGAGTATTATTGTGCGTGTGTGTTTCTTTTTACAGGGTACTAGCGAAATGGGTATTTAGAGGAGGAAATGGGTACTAGCGCCATGAAAGACTGAGAAAAATTGAACGAAAAACGAAAAAAAAAAAATCGGTTGAAATTCATAAGCTATTCATAAATCTTTTTGCCAAAAAAAATAAAACTTCCAAAAATCTAAGCTAAAATGTTCGAAAACTTTCAAATTTTTTCTGAGCTAAAACGTCTCGTTATCCGAATGGATGTCAAAATAGGCAGCAAACCATAAAACACAGTTTTTTTAAATGCTCAAAGAAACGTGAGATTTCCATTGGTTAAACATGAGCCGACATCAGTGCTATGCGTACCCATCCTCTGAAACCGCAGAAACAATTATGCACTATAACTCATCATGTGAAAGTTCAACTAAATTTTCGCCATGATTCGTTGCTTCCGAGCCAACAAAAAGATCCGATTCATCGAGTATTTCATCGATACTGAGACGACCATCACCATCTTTATCTGCTTTAGACATCAGATGTTTCGTTTCCTGCAATTTAAACTGTTTTTGAAAAAAAAAAAAACCGAAAATTACAATGGATTCTGCAGAATTTTTCGATGAATTTTTCATTGGTATACTAAAAAGATCGATCTGGGTGCCATATGCGGATTCAGGTGGGCCTCCTGGAGGCGGGAGGGGAGAAGCGATGGAGGGTGTGGAAGAGAATTTACTTTGGTTTTAGCACTGCTATCCCCTAAAGTTTCAGCTTTCTAGCTCTTCTCGTCCTCGAGTTAGCCTGTGCCGCTAGAGGGTCCCTCCTTCCCTCCCCCCACCCCGTAGATCCGTCTATAGTGGGTGTCCCATGTTAATAATGTTACTAGATGCTCCTACATTTCTAGCGCCACAACGTCAGGCCCTCACTGACATCAGCGATTTGTTATCAAGGTCCTGCCCAACGAATTTTACGTTTCTGCGCGGTCTCAGTGTTATCCT